TCCAAATACTAAAAGCCATTTGAAATGTTAACATCGTGTGCTAAAAACATTTTTACAACTTAAAACAGTGGCCTTTTAAGAGGATATACTCGATACATTTAAATACATTTATAGAAAAAGACAGTATGTCAATAACATACCACATTGTATTAAAATATAAACTTTGTACTGCTCATACTTAGGAGGTCAAAAAAAAATATATATATATAGATGAACTTTAATTTATCTTGTCCTTCCAAATTGTACCTCTCTTTATAGACATATTCTAGTTAAATTAAAAAGAAATGGTAGAATTAAAGGCATAATTATTGGCACTTGCAAACCATCAGTGAAATAATGAGAAAAGGCTATTAATGTAGTAGAAAGAGGAATAACCAAATAGATGCCTCCTGAAGGAAGTACACACCAATACCTAGGAATTATACTTCCCCTCCCCTGCAACTCCCACGTGGAAATCAAACCCGAACTAAATTTGCTAAGTCTTCAAACTACCTACCAATTTACAGGCAATACAAGGGATGATAGAGGGATATATTAAACTAGGACATGTTAAAACTATACCTGAGGGACATATTCATCAACATCCAGAATGAGACAAACTGGAGGAAAAATGGCCTGGTTCCTTCAACAAACCTTCAACAAATTAGGTTAGTGCAAAGGTAATTATGGGTTTTAAATTGCCATTAAAAGTAATGGCAATTTTTAAAAAACCACAATTATGTTTGCACCAACCTCACAAGGAAAATACATTACGAGGAAAATAATTAACCAATTATTAAAAACAACCTAGGAATATTTGAATACTGACTGGATATTTGGTGATGTTCCTTTTTAAAGGTGGGATAATGGCATTGTGGTTATGATTTTCTCAAGAGTCTTCTTTCAGATCTATACTGAAATAAAACAAATGAAATCATTTGTAGAATTTTCTTCACGGTAATCCAGTAGGGTCTGGGGAAAGTAGGTAGGGGAAGAGATAAATCGTGTCTCTTAACTGTTTGTGTTTTGAAATTTTCCATACTAAACGGTTCAAAAGGGAAAAAAGAAAAACACCATTCTCAGGGTCACCAACAAAAACTGAAAACAAGAACAGTTTGAATTTTGTCTCCAAGCCTTACAAACCAAGCAGCCCTGGTCCCTCACACAACTTCTTAGCATCCCTATTGATTAAATGGAGACAAACACCACCTAATAAATTCATATTTGTTCAAGCCAAAAGCCTGGGTTATATCCTTAACTTCTTTGACTTTGCTAGTCTCCCACATCTAGACTCCACCAAATCCTGTCTTTTCCATCACTGTGGTCTCATACCATTCCAGCGGCCTCCTTTCAGCCTGTTGTTCACATTTGCATCCAGCGTGGTGCTACTACAATGCAAAATCCAATCAGGTTATCCTCAGCCCCACTGAAAATCGTTTTTTTTTAAAATAGAGTCTCACTTTTTACCCTCCTTGATTCCTTAAAATGGCTTACAAGGCCCTTCATTTTCTCATACTGTATCTCTTCAATTTCCATCTCTCCATTCTCTGAAGTACAGTGGTGCAATCTCAGCTCACTGCAGCCTCCACCCCCCAGGGTTCCTGTGGTTCTCCTGCCTCAGCCTCCCAAGTAGCTGGGATTACAGACGCATGCTATCATGCCCAGCTAATTTTTTGTAGTTTTAGTAGAGACAGGGTTTTTTCATCACGTTAGCCAGGCTGGTCTCTAACTCCTAACCTCAAGTGATTCACCCGCCTCAGCCTCCCCAAAGTGTTGCCATTTACAGGCATGAGCCATAGCCCCCAGCCTGAAAAATGCTTAAACGGCTTTCAATCTGCTTCAAGATAAGAGTGCTCCTTTAAATTTTTTTACCCTTCTTGATTCCTTAAAATGGCTTATAAGAGGCCAGGCGCGGTGGCTCAAGCCTGTAATCCCAGCACTGTGGGAGGCCGAGGCGGGTGGATCATGAGGTCAAGAGATCAAGACCATCCTGGTCAACATGGTGAAACCCTGTCTCTACTAAAAATACAAAAATTAGCTGGGCATGGTGGCGCGTGCCTGTAATCCCAGCTACTCAGGAGGCTGGGGCAGGAGAATTGACTGAACCCGGGAGGTTGCGGTGAGCCGAGATCGCACCATTGCACTCCAGCCTGGGTAACGAGTGAAACTCCGTCTCAAAAAAAAAAAAAAAAAAAAAAAAAAAAAAAAAAAAAAAAAAAAAACCAAAAAAAAAAAAAAAAAAAAAAAAAAAAAAAAAAGGCTTATAAGGCCCTCCATTTTCTCATACTGTCTTATTTCTTCAACTTTCATCTCTTCCCATTCTCTTTGACTCCTTTATGTTTTTTTAGCTTTGGTAAAATTCTTTCAGCTCTTTCATTATACTGTGTACTCTGAGTATAGCTTCAGTGTTCATGCCTGGAATGTTCTTTCCACCCATCATCACTGCCTTGCCTGGCTAGCTCCTTCATCCTTCAAGTCCCAAGTTAAACAGTATTTCCTCAGAAAGATCTTCCCAAATTGCTTCTATGCTAAGTTGGGTGTCTTCTGACACCTACACAATACAGTATTTGTTCCTACAGGATCTGTAGTTACCCTATCACAACAGTCTCTAGTTGTTTGTAAAGAGTATTTGCTGTGGCAATTATGAATTTAATCTGTTTTCCAGCTAGAGTATAACTCTAGGAGGGCAAGTGGTAAAATGTGTTCACTACTGAATCCTAAGTCTCTCATAGGGCCTCACAGCAACAAACTGCTGAATATATAAAATTCACAACAATCTGGACTGTTTTCCTCATACCCAAGTTCTATCTTCCTAGTCCTCAAATGCAACAAAAACAAGACAGCCTCACACCTGTAATCCCAGCATTTTGGGAGGCCAAGGTGGGCGGATCATGACGTCAGGAGTTCAAGACCAACCTGGCCAAGTTGGTGAAACCCCATCTCCACTAAAAATACAAAAATTAGCCGGGCATGGTGGCTGGTGCCTGTAATCCCAGCTACGGGGGAGGCTGAGGCAGAGAACTGCTTGAACCCGGGAGGCGGAGGCTACAGTGGGCCAAGATAGTGCCACTGCACTCCAGCCTGGGCAATGGAGCAAGATTCCATCTCAAAACAAAACAAAACAAAAAAAACAAGAAGACAGCCAAGTAGGCATTTACAGAGATCTTAATCTTGCATAGGAGTGAGCATTATAAAGTGAATTGAAAACATGATGGGAATGCAGAACATAAGAAGTTGGGAAATCTATTTTCAGACTGAGATATTTTGTATCCAAATTTACAATCTTAAAGAAAACTCCGGAGTGTCAATCTAACAATCTATTTTTTTTTCAACCTAACAATCTAATAAAAATGAGTCCAATGACACACATAGTTCCCACCGAGCCATTAACAAATTTTCAGACCTAAGATGTTAGATCACTTAATCCCTCCAGCCTCAGTTTCCTTCTGTGTAAAACAAAGGATCCTGACCAGCTGGTCATTAGGATCCTTTGCAGAGCTAATATATGCCCATATTAAGTGGCCAAAAGATGTAAACTTCAGAAACACCAATCAGTTACTTTCTTCCCATAGTGATATTTTTTTCCTCTTTAATCTGTTTTAAGGACATTATAGCCTATCCCATTACGCTTACAACTAAACCTTCAAATCTATTCAGCTATAAAAATCTCACGAAATGCTCCTCAGATTATTAACTTGCATATTTAGCAAGAGTAACTGCAATATGATGAAACAGCGTCTACCTAAACCCAAAATGAATTACTGGAATACATTCAATTTCTGCATAAATACAAAATCTTACTACGTGTTTTAAGTGTTAGATATCTTGAATCTTGGTCGTTTCTATGGCAATCTGAAGACAAAATTGTACCCCAGGGTGTCAGACTTGAATTTATGGGTACTATTTAACATCTAACTAAAAACCGAAGACACATAGTCTTTGCACCACCTCCCTGGGATGGTGGTTAGGATAAAAATTGTGGAAACCAGAGTAATTTTTGGAAAAAAAAAATTTCAAAACAAGTTATAGTAAGTTATGGTAAATAAAGTAGCTCGTAAACATTTTACTGTTAGCAGTAGCAGCACAGTTTCTAATCAGCCACTGGAAACCCAAGGAAAGACTAAAGTAGTAACAAGTTTGTCTCCTCGTTTAGATTAATTACAAACTAGTTTTGGCAACTGCTTGTTGCATCAAATATGTCACAACAAAGTAATAAAATGTTAAAACGCATGCTGGAAAAAAAAAAAAAGGGACGTACTTGGAACAAAAAGCTTGCATCGGACTAAGAGTAATGCTATCCTCCAGATTTCTCTCAATAAGGCCGCCTTAAGTCCCTCAGTAGAAGGGCGCAGCGGCGGACGCCCGCAGCCACAGGTTGAATGACAAAGAACCTCCGTCAGCACCATTCCCGGGAATCTGAGGGCTGCCCTGTCCCCTTCGCAACGTCTACTCGAACCCTACAGTCACGCCTTGGCTGTAGGGGATGCGGCTCTCTGTATCACTCTCGCAAGTCACCAGGTGGGGCAAGGATCAGCGGGGCGGAGAAGGGTTGGGGCAGATAACGCTACGAATCAAAAATAACTCCTGCCTCGAGTCCCTTCCCTTGGAGCAGAAGCGGCCAGCGGAGTCTGGAGATACCACAGGAAGCAGCCTCATGTTACCCCTTTTCCAAATCAAAGCATCTCTCAAGGAGCCTACTGAAGACTCTATAGAGGTGAGGGGACTTCCCCAAGGTCACCAGGCACCACGACGCAACTCCTCGGCCAGGTCAGGGGCCGGCATCTCACCCGGGGCGCCGCGGCTGTGCTGAGACAGGCGCTGTCCTCAGCGCCTCAAGGTCTCCTTCACCAGCACTGCAGCCGAGGCCACGCGGCCGCCTGCGGCCACGATGCCCTCTGCTGGGCCGCCTCTCTCCCCCGGAGACAAAGTCTCCCAACCCCAGAGGTCCCCTCCGACCCCACCAGGGCAACGAGGGCACCGCGGGGTCCGCGCTGAGTGCCGCCAGCTGTTAGCCAACTAACCGTTATATTCGCGGATCGCAGCGCCAAGCGTGTGCGTGACGTGGTGGCGCGGGCTGGAGTTCCACGGGGCCCAGGGTCTGGCTCCCCTCCTTCGCTTGCTGCCTCGTTTGCTTGTTCGAGCACCCAGGCGGCCAGGCAGTCACGTCGCAGCTCTCCACTTTGTCTGGCCCGGCCGGCGCGGCTGCCTTATAACCCGCCAGGGCCCGAGCATGCGCACAGGGGGCGGAGTCGTCTCTCTGGGCCGCCGCCCCCTCCCCGCCATACTGACATCCGAACTGCAGCTAGCGCCTCCACATGCTCTCAGCCGCGCTGGCGCCCCCTCCCCACCAAGTGATCCAGGTCCCAGTCGGACCCGCGCGCCGCGCCCCTGCAGGGCGGCGCGGAGCCACCGCGCCCTGCCAGACGCGTCCCTTGGTCCCTATTTGACGAGCTCTAGGCAACCTGCCCTCGTTCGGGACACAAACGTCGGTCTCACCCCTCAGTTTTTGTCAGAGAAAAAGGAAGAACCACCGAGAGGCCTGACCCTGGGGGGGCGGCGGGCGATGCGCGCGCGGAGTAGCGGGAAGCGACTGAAGAGGGGGACTAGGCAGCATTTGAATGGACGCGGGTGCCACTGGGACCCCGGAAAACGGCCGGGGGCCGGCGCTGTGGAGCCGGGCTTGGACTGGGATGTGTTTGGATTCCAATCCGGGCCTGACAGCAGTTCAGTGACCTCGGGAAGTTCCCCAGCCCTCCGGGCCTGTTTCCTACCCCCGAAGTGGCGACGGTAATAGAACCGACCTCGTAGGCTCATCGGGAGGTCCTGATGGGAGACTCCGTGCAAGTTGCTCACCACAGAGCCAGGCCCGCGGCGGTTGGCGCCTGGTGGGTATTAAAGACAACTCGGGAAAGAAGAGCAGGTAAGAGCGTGGGGAGACTGGCCCGGTGGGGTGGCGTGTGCGCGTCGGCCACGTGGGGAAGCGAGAATGCAGGGGCCGGAGGCTTAGGGACGATGCCTGTGTGGGGCAGGATAGAATAGTAGCAGGCGGCGCTGGGGCTGATGCGTCTCACCCGGATTATCCTCTGTAATCCTCACAGCCCTGTGAAGTAAGCACTGCCGTGAACATTTTGTAAATAAGGGACCCGAGGCCCAGAGAGGTGAAGTAACTTTCCAGATGGCCCAGCTAGTTAGCGGCCAGCATTTGAAGTCAGACTCCAGGGTCTGTTTTTATCCTAAGAGCCGCTATGACTGGATAAGCAACATGTGTGTGTTTAAGTGATCAAATAACCATGGAGTGTGTCTGATGTCCAGGACTTTTCAGAAATACCGGAAAAGTATGAGGCAAGGCCCCTGCCTGCAAAGAGCTTGCAAGTTTTGGGGGGAAGACTGAGTCAGGCACAAATTAACGAACCATTGTTGAGCACTTGCTGCTTGCCAGAACCCAGCCCTTCCCCTCGAGTCTTCCTCCCTTACCCTCCCCCTCAATTCTCACAAAAACCCTGGGAGGTAGGCCTTGGTTTGCAAATGAAGAACCCGAGATTGAAGAAGAGTAGAGATTGGAGGATCAGGTCCTGAGAGGTCCCAGGTGCTTTCCAATAACAGTTCAGTATGTTAGAAGACAGTATGGCATTCATGGCCAAGTACTACTTGTGAGTAATACAGTAATTGCTTTTTACATTTGATAAACACAGAGAAAGGAAGTCACTGGGGCAGCCAGGACTTCTAAGAGCAGTGCTAGGGGGGCAGCAGCATTCAGGTAGATGGTAAGGAGAATTAAGTTAGAGAGACTGGAGAGTCTGGTTCAGATGTAAACTTATAAGGGCCTGTTCTATGGTATGTAGCGAGAAGTGGTTAAAAAAGGAACCTCAAAAGAAGGCTTATAGAGCCCCGTAGTGTGGTGATTCACAGTATAGACCTGGGAGCCAGATCTGTTGAGTTCCAAATTTGATTCTTGCACTTACCAGCTCTATGCCCTCAGGCAAGTCATTTCACGGTTCCAAGCCTCTCGACTCTGTAAAACAAGGATAATAGCTACCTCAGGGTTATTATGATAATACAATTGGTATTTATTTCAGCCCAGCACAGTGGCTCAAACCTCTAATCTCAGCACTTTGGGGGGCTGAGGCAGGTGAGTCACTTGAGGCCAGTAGTTCGAGACCAGCCCGGACATGGTTAACCCTGCCAATACTATAAATATAAAAATTAGCAAGGCATAATGGCACACGCCTGTAGCCCTAGCCACTCGGGAGGCTGAGACAGGTGAATTGCCTGAACCCGTCCGTGAGGCAGAGGTTGCAGTGAGTTGAGATCTCACCACTGCATTCCAGCCTGGGCAACAGAGCAAGACTCCATCCAAAAAGAAAAAAAAAAAAAAGGCCGGGCGTGGTGGCTCACGCCTATAATCCCAGCACTTTGGGAGGCCGAGGCGGGTGGATCACAAGGTCAAGAGATCAAGACCATCCTGGTCAACAAGGTGAAACCTCGTCTCTACTAAAAATACAAAAATTAGCTGGGCATGATGGTGCGTGCCTGTAGTCCCAGCTACTCGGGAGGCTGAGGCAGGAGAATTGCTTGAACCCAGGAGGCAGAGGTTGCGGTGAG